GAGTACTGCGTATCGTTACATGACTGGTGAAGACGTATGGTAACTAGATTTGAGGTTAGGGTGTCAAAATCGTAATCATCTGCGAGAATAGTTCCTGAAGGTCCTACAGCCACCCGTAAGATTACTGTTCCACAATCGCTATTTCTCAGGAACCAATGTGTGCACAACAAGCCCAATGTTTTCTAAAATAATGAGAACGTCGGGGCGCGTAAGGTGGACAATAGGCTCCACAGCCATTCTATTTTTGTTTCGCACGCATTTCAGTGACAGCAACTTTCTTAGCTTTGTTTTGGTATCAGAATCAGCCGTGTCACGCAACGTACGAATTAGGACACTTCTTTCTCCGTCCAAGTTTAAGAACCAGTCAGACCAACTACACTTTAGACACTTCCCTAAGAAGGGCGAGCTCCGGTGGCAAGTAATCCTCTTCTGCCAACGAATTTAGCTCTAAAAGTGCACTTTTGTTGCATTCCTCGCTGTCTGTGATCACAGTTAGCTCTGCAAATCTGAAGTCATAATCGTGCCTAGGGGCGCAAGGTCAACCCATACTCGAATTGTCTGGATTGAAATGGGATCTTGTCACGCAACTCTTGTAGTGAAAGCTTCGTAACGCAGTGCAATGGGACTCAATGGTTTATCCATGCTAAAACTCGCCTATTTCTTTGGAAAATTCCAAATGATATCCAGACACAATTTCCCGATCTCATATGACAGTAAATGAAAAATTCTCAGCTATCTGTTAAAAAAACACATTGTTTCTCAGATAACATTTAACATTTCGGCCAAATCTCAGCTATCGGATAATGCCATTCACACCCTCATAATAGTGATCGTATGATATTATATAACAGCTTTATTGTAATCGTAATCGTAATTCACATTAAATTAAATTACATTACATTACATTACAATTGGGTTATAGAGGGAGGAACTTAATCCCCATATTGACCATACCCCATATTATAATTATGATAAACTACATATATCTATGCAAATACTTTAACAATACATGCATATTGATTACATTTTAATTATATTATTACATATTATTATCCATTATTATGGATATTAGTCATATCCATAGTAAGGACAATGCTCAATTTAAGTAGTAATTGTAAACCTCCCACTACGGCAAATCCCCGAAACCAAATTGATCCTTCTCTTTTTAATTTTGAAACATAAATGAACATACTATGCATCGTCTGAGTGGTCAATTCAGTTTCCAAGCGGATGCCTTATCAGGTTATAGGGCCCGCATATAGCTAGTTATGTCATGAAAGCAATAAAACCCATTTTTTCGGGCTCTATAACGTGATAAAGTCACTTGTCACGTGATAAAGTCACTTGTCACGTGATAAAGTCACTTGGGATGTTGGAAGAACACTCGGAAAATTTATAATTACTCGCCTTTGGTTTGTGATTTATAAGCGTTCCTCGTGTTTTCCCAAAATTCCGCGTGGCGTTATCACGATATAGAGTCCGGAAAAAAGTGTTCTATCGCTTAAATGTTTGATGATATCACAAACAACGAAACAGAGTTCGATTCTCCACGCTAATTTTTCCCCCATATCTTTTTCCCCATATCTTGAACTAAATACATTCTACAATTCTATTACTAAGTACATTCTAAAGTGTTTTTATCAACTGAATTTACAGGCAACCATAGCGAAGCATTTAGAGCTGTTGGAGGAGGGGCCCTGGAGTTGAGAGCAGAGTCTGAAGCAATTGTCATAGGTATGAAAATTTTGAAAAATCGTTTGATCTCTCTCAAGGCCTTTTAAAAACTGCGTGAAGGGCAAGGAGGAATAAATATGTAGATTTAAGCCTACTGCATGTTGCAGAAACGGGAGGCAAACCAACACTTATTWWTWTARSRMCRKRKT